AAGTTGATGGGGTTGGAGAAGCGCATTAATTGGAAGGATGATGTGCAGTCTGTGCAGGAGGAGGAAGCGGATGCGGAGGCGTTTAAGGAGGCGTTTAAGGAGTGGGATTTTACGTTGGAGTAGATACTACTATTTCAATTCTCTAGGATATATACTACTGGAATTTGGCACTCGGGTGAGTGACTTGGATTTTGTGTGGTGTTATGTACTAATATATCAATGGATATCTTGCTGAGATTTGAGCTTGGTTTCATATACTTACTATTGAAAATTGCTCCATATTACTTATTATGGTTAAGGAATATTGACTGCATATAAGTTTGAGTACTACCGAATCAACGGTTTTGTATTTTCTCAAAAATCACTCTAATAAAGCCACTGGGATAACCCTATCCAGGCATGACAGGTGCCGTTCGTTATACTATCTATCATTTGATTCAAACATACATCATGCAAAAAGGGTTCAGTTTGGTTGGGTCATAGCGGGCCGGAGATACGAAGGGTAGAAACTGTATGTACAAGCGGGATAAAGAGGAAAGGGTACTAGCCACCAGGACACCTGGTGACGAAGCGAGAGGGGCTCTAGAAAAGAAGAGATGCCGAATAAAGGCATCACGGATCTAGCCAATAGATTTGGCTGTTGCGATGTGGCTTGGAGCGGTATGCTTGGACTTGCAGGCGTGTTTAAAAGCCTGCTTTGACGCGTGAGTGTCAATATGTCCATCACGCTGCTCCCATGGATGGGCATTCCAAGCACATGCAGGAGAGTCAGCATCGGTCACGAGACCAATGGCTGGAAGTATTGTGGTTACTGAGAGTCGAAGGTGACTTAAAAGTTGGTAGGCCTGCGTCCGCTCTGCAAAAGACTCGGGGGCCGGCCCGGTTCATTGGCTTCGCGAGGCGCAGGGGTCGTAGAGAACGGAGGAGGGGGCGACGTGGGAGTCGCTGGGGACATGTTGCGGTATGGCGGTGCCTGGAAGCCGGGGGAAGGCTGGCGGTATGGGACCGGACGAGGCGCATTCATGGCCGAGTGGAGCGTCGGAGCTGGAGAGAAGGTCCTGTTAATCGGCATCGGCTGTCCGTACGTGCCGGTATCCGGAGGCATCTGATGCTGCGGCATGTAGTGCGGGTGCGCAGGCTCTGGGGGCATATAGTTCGGGTGCATGCCGTCCATGGGCATCTGGTATGGCTGCATGCCATCCATAGGTGCATGATGAGGCTGAGTCGCGTCCATAGGCATATACTGCGGTTGCGTGGTATAGGTGGGAGCCGGTGACATGTTATGGAAGCGGTCCTCGTGAGGATACTCGCTGTAAGGCTGGTGCTCATATGGAGAAACGGGTGGAGGCGACCGGGGGCCGGGCGCATGATAGCCATATGCGTCCGGTTCATCATATCCGTCGTATCCTCGAGGCTCAGCATGGTATGCGCCTGGCGCAGCAGGCGTTCCGGTCCTCAATGGTGCAGCAGGCGTTCCGGTTCTCAACGGCGGAGGCCCCCCGTAGCCTCCCGTAACAGACCGGGCTCCAGAGGGCATGCGACGAGGCTCCTGGTTCGCATTGCTCAGAGGCTTCATCTCGAGTGATTCCGCGTGGGGGTTCTCATCCTCGACCTTCTTTGTCACGGCACTTTCCCAAGTAGGCATGGCGGGCAACGCATCCTCGTCAAACTTTCCGTTCGCAGGACTCGACGGTGTATCGAATCGTGCAACCTCTGCTCCACGGTACACGGGCGGTGCCTGTGGTTGGTAGGGTGTCTGATAGGCGTTGTTCATAGGTGCTGGCATGGTCGGCATGGCAGGCATGGGGGGCGGTTGATCATATTGGTCGTCCAAGTACTTTTGCTTGTTCCTCTTTCTCTTGAAACCCGGACAGCACTTGAAGCAACATCCACAACAGCATTTGCAACATTGCACACCACAGCACAGGCAATTGATCACGCAGGCGATGACGGAGAGGACAATCAGCGCGGCGATAATGATAGCGACGATGACAGGCCACCTAGGTAGTAGTCTGAGTTAGAAGGCATCCAACAAGCAGCAATTGAAACAGGAACTCACTTGCAGTAAGCCTTGGACATGCACTTGTCCCAACTAGTGAACGTACTGGCGTCGGACTTGAGATCGCTCACGACATCCCTCGCCCACAAGGGGACGGAAGCCTTATCCACCGGACTCATTATCCTGGCAAGACGTGCGCGATCCACCAGGAAATCCTTCGAGTCCCACAGCCGACCAAAGACGGTATAGAGCGTGTTCCTGACACACGGCGGGCGTATTCATGCAACAAAAGCACGGTATGAGATAAGCGACTGTGCACCAAGGGATAATTTCTTTCAATCCGGTTTTCGAAGTAAGTTGGTTTAATGAACGGTTAGCAGAGACACATCTGGCTTTGCCTTCTGACACTGATTCGGTATCGTAATGAGTGGCTCAAATTGCGGCGTTGCGCGACAGTCGCACCGAGGGAAGGGAGGGAGAGGAGAGCGCGCAAGTGCTCAACCAGGCGATCGGAATTGATTCAAGGAGAGACACAAGAAATAGTGATAATCTATTCTTGTAAAAAGGAGAGACTTCCTCCAAAACAGGGAGGATGAAAGAGAGAGATCCGAATCGTCAGATGAAGATGGACGAAAGAAAAGCAATGAATGTGGAAATTAATGATGGTGGTGGTGGTGGTGGTAGTGCGGACCGCGAAACAGTGCGCCGCCACAGCCTCCCAGGGGAATTGGGATAGATTTATCGGATCATGTGCAGATCGCCAGGGAATCTGCAAGGCGGACACAATAACTCGCCAGATGCGATACCTCCTCGAACCACCAGCAAAGGAAAGACTCTGGTCGTGAGGGATGAAAAAGTTCGTCCCCGAGGCCGAAAGAAGGGAAGGGATATGGGGGAGGGAAGGGCGACCGAAAGAAGGCAAACAAGAAGAAAACGAGGGATGCAACAAACAGCGGGTTTAATTTGATTTAAATTCGGCTGGGGAGGAGAAGAACAGGCACTTCAACTCAGGAACAGGAGATCAGCGCGCATTGCGGAGAGCCACTCACTGACTTTAGTTTTTGCTGTCCGCCCATCGCAATTGAATTCAGGCGAGCGACTGTATTTACACTGCTATACACATAGAATCTCACCACTGGGTCGGGTGTAATACCAGTGTCTGACCGGGTCAGGGAGGGTTAATCTGTCTCGAACCCAGCTAACCAGCAGATGAAACCGCCCGTTTCCTGCCTCGCCGGACCCTCTCCACTGCTGTCGATCTCTCCCATCGCATGGCCTTTTCCTCTTACTCTTCTGCTGTTCCAGCATGCTGCCCATTCTTATTGGCAGTCGCGGTGCCCACCCCAGCATGGTGGTATACATGGGTGCGTTTCTTGGGACAGACACTCAGCCTCCCGAAGTTCTACACAATCCACTGTATTTCGATTCGTCTTTTGAGGTCCCTGTTTAGATATTCTCCGAATAATACGAGAGATGTAATATCACTTATCTACGAAGTACTATCTGCTACTCTGCGACTTATCAGTTACTTGAACGCCGCCAAGGGAAGGGGTATCCCAACAGGTCGTCCAGGGGGGAAGGACAATCACTGATCGCTTCCCACTTCCCCGTTCGCCCTTCCACAGACTAGTTTCGATTAGGCGCGGATTCGACCCAACGAACAGGATACGAAGTTCGCACAGAACAGGCAGATATCGGCAGCCCTCGCTTTTGACAGACGGGTCCACCGTTGGATGACAAAACATCATCCTTCGGAACGGTTCCTTCTTCCATAACATTAACATTGTACTTGGTAGTAGTAAGCTATTCACGTTTGGTTGGTGTCGGCTGCCTTCACCTCATATATCACACAGCCGAGGACAATAATCGCAGTGGAAGAAACAAATGTAAGAACAAAAGAGAGAAAAGGGAGAAAATCTAAAACGATAAAAAAAAATGCTGGCGCCATAGTCATAGAGCATAGAAAACACTACCCCGATAAGTCATTATGATACGAGTACCATGGAGTCTTAATAAATAGGCACAAAGAAACTCATAAACCCGTCACACGTTGGCCGCTGGTATCCCTCCTAGCACAGAACGCTATGAGACGCAGAGAGCGGACATATCCCAATAATTGATCATCGAATAGACGCCTGGGTAATTACATAATAGTCGATCGCAAGGAACCCCCTTGGATCGGGTATCTGGAGACAGAGAGGAGGAGGAAGAGAGAGAAGTCGTTTCACGGAATACTGGTCGGAGCGTTACACCTTGGAAGCCCCCTCGGGAGGAGGACCCGGTGGTGGCTGGTACACCCGTTCGCCACCGTGGTATGCGTTCGGCGGTTGTTGTAGCTCGATTCCCGTCTGCTGGCCTCCAAAGTAACCATAAGCTTGCGGTTGAGGAGTGTATTGGGGCGGCGGTTGTTGTTGGTAGTAAGGGTCTGCGTAGTATGGTCGTTGACCTTGTTGCTGTGCTTGTTGCTGAGACTGTTGGAAGGTCGGAGGAGGGCCGGCAAGCCATGCAGTGCCGGGGTGAGGTCGGAGCCCTTGTCTGCGCCGACGGCGGGCGTTGTAGCATCTACCGAACTTGTTAGTCTCCAATCACAGTGGCAGGATCCTGGACCAGGCAGATGAGATGCATACGCAAAGAGAAAGAAAATGATTAGCGCCACAGCGACAATGACTGCGAACGCGATCCAACGACCCCAATCATACCAAGTGCTGCCATCGCACACTTCGCCATTGACGGTGGGATAGCTAGAAAGAGACGGTCAGCCACCCGAACTAATGTACAACAACAGCACTAAAGGCCATTCATGATTGAAGCAGCCCAGAAAGCGCTCCAACCAGGGATGATCAGGCAGATAAGCCAGTCATAAACATACCAGTCTCGACGTCGAAGTAGAACACCCATGGTGGCTGCACCTCTTGTATCGGAGGCCTGGGAGGCGCGGAAGATGACGTCGATCAGGCCGGTACAGGGAACGGTAAGTCTAGAGCGAAGTGGAAAAGAAAGTATGCGGCGGCAGGTCAATATAGACAAAACCGGTGGGAGGAGAATCGCAAAGTTTCAGTAACTCCTTCAGGGCGAGGAAGGGATTCAGACAGGAGTAAGGTAGGGGGGGAAAGGGAAGAAGCAGTGAAGTTCTTCTGGGCGTCTGAAGGCAGCAGCAAAGCGAAAGGAACTGCACGGGTAAGTTATTATGGGGACTGGCCGGCGATTGGGTAAGGTAGGGCTGGAAAAGCCGGTGCCAGTGTGGCTCAGTGGCTGGGCAAACACCCCGGGAACGATGAATAAACTTCTACTTGTTGTTGGTGAGGTGATCGGAAGGAAGGGGAGTTGAAAAAGAAATAATTTATTAATTATGAATAATAGTGAATTTGAGGGGGAAAAAAATTAATTTCTTTGACTAGTCTTATTCTTGAATTTTCAAACATGAATGATGGTGGCCTAATACTTAGTTTTAGTTGGACTAGACAGATCCAACCATTTCCGTTGAAGAATCTTTAAGCAGACTAGACTCCGTAGTAGTAAGTCATTCCCAAAAGTCAACTTTCGGCAGTGTTTGACGTAGTAAGTAGTATTCTTTGCCCTTCCCACCCCCACAGCTGGCAAAGTGTCGTACGTAGTCCATTTCCAAGTAGCCACTCGACACATCAAATGGTAGCAGTGAACCAGACTTTCTACATAGTAATAGAACTAGAGAGGGGAATAAAAGTTTAATAATAATAAAAAATACCTAACTTAGTTTGTTTGTTCCCGAATTCCGACGGTGAATAATGATATGTAAATGAATGGTTCATGAATCATTTAGATCTACATACCGCGTTCATCCACCGTTCCTGCCCTGACGAGACCTCTTTTCTCCATAATCCATATTGATTGACACGACTTTAACCAGCCACTAAACTAAGAGTGTCAAAAAGCGCGAGGATATCTAAGACCTCGGATCGCATTCGGTGGAGCCTGTGACTGCAACCACCGGCACTAGACTAGTCAATTATCCTATCCACCCACTACTGTCTCTCCAAAATTCGGGTGCCTGTTCTCAACTTGCCAATTATTCAACCTCCTCCTCCCATCGCGTGCCTCTTTCATCCACTCATCCATCTCTTTTGAGTTGGGACCACTCTTAACCACGTCTTGTCGTGTCTTTTCTCCTCACTTTTTCCGAAAAGTCAAGTCAACCAAGACATAATCACGGTGTGCTTGTTTAATCTTGGGTCCGCTACCAGAGCACCTATTAGTATCATTGTTGAACGGTCGGCAGATATTCAGTGCCTCGGCACGATGCAAACCATGCTCACTCACCAAAGACTCACGTCACAGCCACGAGTTTTACGAACAACACCACCACCACCACCACCACCAGCATAACCATCGTCATCATCATCCGCTTGACCGCTTGTACTTTGCAGTTAACATGCAATAGATCAGTAACTAACTAATATTTGCTGTACCGATTACCTGGCCTCGATCTCGATCCTCATATTGCATTATTGTTTTGCCTAGAGGCAAAAGTAGTAACCGGAAGAGATTCTATCCAGTCTCATGTCTCTCGGAGCACTCCGCCGCGTATCCGGATTGCCTTTTCCGGCATTTATTTGAGATTTCCTTGTCAATACTCCCTCATCTCACGTAAAAGAGGTACAGTAAGCCATGTCATACCTACTTTCTTGCTTACTCTGTTGCTGCAATCATACTATACACACGCATCTGTTCAAGGGTATATGTCCAGAATGGGCAACCCGACGACAGTAGAGTATCATATCCGACACACTAGCATGGTCACAGACATAGCCAGTTTCAAACCGATACTTAAGCGAGATGCATTATACAACTAGCCTGTTATTATTATAATAGCCTGCTGCACCTCTCTTAATTAGTGCTTATCGTGTATGATATGAATGGAGGCTGGATGAACGGAGACAGACAAAGCCAGCCCACTCAATCTTCGGCACTAATTCGGCCTACTACCTAGATAGCTCGTGTTTCAGGTTTATGGCGGGGGTGATTACTACTAATCTCTCAGTGCAGTCTATACCAGATTGGTACTCTGTAGACAGATATACGCTGCTTTGCTAATTCGTGTATCATTTAGATCAAACAAATACACCTGAGCTTAATTAGGAATGACAGCTACTACTAATCAAATTACAAATAAGGACTGAGTTGACAGATTTCTGTATAGGCTAGATACTCCCTGAGGTAATAAACGCTATAGAGCACCGAGAATAGATAGATAGTACGGTGCAGATAGACAGATACATTGGCCACGCCTCGCTGCGAGTCACTTACTTCAACTCAAAGTACTACCTACTGTACACATATCAGCAAAAGACAGCCGATCTACACGTAACTGCGCAGCTACTTATTTCATAATGCAAGTACCTAGGAATTAGTAGTACCCTTCTCAACCTCGTCCATCAATCCACCACCTAGCAGTCAACAAATACACCGAGAACAAGTAAGCAAACAGACTACCATAACTATACTACTCTGTAAACTAAACCGGCATATAACCCGTCAATACTACTACTAGTAGTCATCAACCACACAACTCAACAACTAGCCCCCATTTCGGAAGGAAAAGAAAGCGACCTAAGCAAGAAAGCAAAGCGCACCAGCCATAAACCTTCGCAGATGCTCTGCTCCGGGGAGGGAAAGAGGAGGGGGGAAGTACAAGTTGTTTGGCGGGGTGGGATTTGCTGGGGAGGCTTGATTAGTTCCCGTCTGCGCATCTGCATTGCCAACGCATCAGTTGGTCTGTGTGTGGCCCTGTTGGCCATGGTCCTGCTTGGGGTTTATTTTTCTTTTCTTTGGGCCCTCAAATAATTCATGTTTGCCGCGTCTCTTTGTCTCTTTCTTTCTTGCTCTCTTCTCTACTTTGCATCTGTCTGGCCTTTTCTTTCGGACTTTGGTGCTGAGTTCCTTCACTCAGCTACCTGCTTGCAGCTAGCTACATTGGACTGACGGATGGTCATGTGCTTATTGGGCATTGATTGATTTCTCCCCAACTCTTGCTCTGACTCTTTCTCCCTCTCTCTCGCTGGCGCTTCAATTCTCGATCGTCGAGCTACTTGCTAACTATGCAGTTCTTTTTCTCTTCTTCTTTAATGTCCGCAACCCACGCGGTTCAGGTTTCTTTTTCCACTATGAGAAGGACGGCCTGAGGAACATAAAATACACAAAAGTACATTGAAACTGACATCATTGCTTGAAAACCAAACCAAATAACTCCATGACAGGGGTGAGGTGCTGAAGATCGGACAAATGTTACGCTGAAGCTCAATGTGTGTCTGGTTCACGTCGTTCACATCATTACATCGGGGCTGCGAGCCGCATCGTTTTTGCAGTCTACAAGAGATCCATCTCGTGGATGGGATCAAGAAAAGAAGGAGAGGAGGGTCTGAGGGATTGACCCCCCAGCGGTTCTCAAGCGGAGTCGCTGACGACACGCCGTTCATCGACTGGCTCGAGCGATTAACCAATGCAGAACAGCATCGAGGTTCGTCTCCTCTTTAGCGCTGATCCCATAGCAGCTCACTTCGCGATGAGTGATGGATTTCAGGTCCATCTCGTGGATCAGATCGTCGACCGACAGCTTCTCCGGAAGGTCGGACTTGTTCCCAAGAACCAATAGTGGGATCCCGTTAAGCGTCTCTTTGTTCATCAGCTCGTGCAACTCCTCTTTGGCTACGGGTAAGGCAGCCCGATCTGCTGCATCCACGATGTACCTGGTCGAGCGATTAGCGCTGCCAGGGTACCAAGACATGTTCCAGACAAACTTGAACACTTACACGATCGCATTCACTCCACGACAGTATCGCTCCCACATCGGTCGAAACCGTGGCTGTCCACCTAGATCCCAGCTGGTTGGACATTAGATACATCGCGCACAGGCATCTCGCAGCTCCATACTGGGGCACCATACCATTTGAGAGTCACATGTCCCTTCTGAACTCGTTTCGTGTTGAACCCGATCGTGGGAATAGAACTGAAATGGGATTTAGCCAGATAATCCAGTGTCGCTCTGTCAGGCCAGGCCCTACAGGATGGAAACTTACTCTACAGTGAACTCGCCGCCCTATACTGCGGGATTAGCGCCGAGGGAAGATGCGTTCAGTCGCCGTGGGGGAAAAGGCATACCGCAAGCACACGTAACAACGAAGACTTTCCTGCATTCTGGAGACCAATCATGGTCACATCCATCTCCGTCGCCCTGCGGGTGCGAATATATCATAATGGCACTTAGCAAATCGAATGATTCCTTATCTGCGGGGACGGGCCGAAGAGGGGGGACCATTCCCGGAGAAAAAGCGATTACTTATTGGGACGGCGGCCCACTTACCAGAACATCCTCAGGAGCCAGTCATAGATCGTGCGAAAGATACCCGCCATGTTGATTATCGAAAGGGTTTGCGCCTTGTGTCGTTTGCGCGATCAGAGCAACGAGGGTGACGGGATAGTTTAAGTAGGGGGAAGGCTTGACTTGGTGGAAGCAGGTCGAAAGGGCGCGCGCGCACTGCTTGTCTCGGCTGGTGGGCGATCGACGACGGGTGGGAGAAATATATCGACACTTCCTGGGCAGAGGGATTTTGTAAGGTTAAGTGGGGGTGGAGTGGATTGCTGAAAAGGGAGAGCAACAGAGCCTTCTCTTTCCCGGGCAGGGAAAAGCAGAGAATTAGATGTGGGTTGTAGTGTTGGATGGAAAGATGCGAAGTGGAAAATAGTAGGTGGTAGTAACCGGTGTGCTGGGGAAATAATGGGCGGGTGGATTCGAAAAAAGAGGCGGCGGTCGTAGCAAGTTTCCCACGTCCGAGCAGCAGCTGAGCAGGAAAAGAAGGTGAGAGGGTGAGGTCGAAGCGGCGCGAAAAAAGAAAGGCGGCAATTTCCCCAGGGTCGGGTTGGTTGTTCCCTAATCCCTAGTAGTGATGGCAGCAGCCAGAAAAGAATATTTCTTCTTCTGATGTCTCTTCGCTTTGCGGTGAAACTAGAGCTGGTCCGATCTATGGGCACGCATGACCGTTCGCTTTTGCGCCGCCGCGCGCTGGAGGGGAGCGCCTAGTAGTCTAGTCCTGCCCGGTCCCTGTCAGTGATTTTTTTGGCTGGGTTTGGTTGTCTGTGTCCGGACTCAGCATCCAGTAATTAACTAACTAACTAATTAGACTAGCTACTCAGAGTAGTTAGTTTAATGCCCAGGTCCCGTGTCAATCACTCGTATATTCCGGGAATCTGTAAAGAGGGATCAAAAGGACCAACTAGTCACGGTTAGTTGCTCACTGGGAGTGGGAACCGGTGGCTCTCAGTCGCACGAGGAACTGGAAGTCATTAATTATTGACAAACCGGGAAATGGAGAGACAGTCCCCGAGCAGCAATGATGATATTATTAACAGCTGCGCTTTCAAATGGCAGCCAATAGTCGCGGCTTAGCCCAGGTAATCTGTCGCCGGCGGATTGATACTAGTAACTACCGGACTAGTTCGTATTCCAATTGTCGGCCTCCCTGTAGACCCGCCTTATCACCAAATATTAATTATCTTCCTCCCCGGAAGAGTAAATGCGCGCGGTCAATAAGGTAGTAGTAGTAGTAGTCCAGGATAATAATGGAAGTTTGGAAACTACGTATCCACATTTGAGAACAGGCAGATTTTTCTCCGATAAATCAGTTAGTTAGTAGTTACATTACTGAGTGATTAATTGAGTTAAGCTGGAACTGACGCATTCCGGGTTTGCCTTGTTGCCTAAGGCGGTTCTTCCCTGTCCCGTGCGTCTGTCCCGTGACGTATGCATAGATTATGTAATTGACTCTATCTGCTATTTATGCCTCAGGCAAATATCGCACTATCTCCACGTGATGATATCTGTCCGCCGGATCCACCTCGAAAAATTTCCCCGTCGAGCGACGACGAGGTTCGTTGCTCTCCAGACCAGCACTCCGGCTCTCTGTGCGAGTCGCATCTCCTCTCCTCTACCTCCCTCGTGGCTCTCGCGATCCCTTATACCAAGGGAATGAGCATTGGGCCCGCTTATTAGCACCTATCTTCACCCCGGTGCTTCGGAAACTACGGATACGGAAGTTCGATCGAACTTTTCCCGCCTCATTCGACCTCCCGGCTACGACGACTTGAGAGATAATTCACCATGGCCCCCGCGGCGACAGACACGAACTGGTCGGTCAATTACGACGTCCTGAGACGGGAGAAGCTTTTCCGCAACCCTCCCAAGGACCAGACCGCATACCCGGCCTTGGCGGCTGCCATCCGGCCGCATGTCGATTCTTTCAATGCGCTCTTCGACGGCCCCAAGACGCTGGAGGCGGCCCTGAAGGATATTGGCACCAAGACCTTCATCGACGGTGAAGCCGAGACTCCTGAACAAAAGAAGGCGCGGCTGGCAGAGGGGCGCAAGGCGCCCAAGCGGAACAAGCTGCATGTCCGTGTTAGCGAGGTTTTCCTCGAGAAGCCGGCCCTGCCTCCGTCGAACAAGTTCACTTCCCGCAACCGCAACATCTACCCCTCGGAATGCAGAGAACGCCATGCGACGTACCGTGGAAAGCTCCGCGCCAGACTCGAGTGGCGCGTCAACAATGGCGATTGGATGGAGTCGGTCAGAGAATTGGGTCAGGTTCCCATCATGTTGAGGGTGAGTGCGATTACATTAGCAGTTGGATTGAGTATGCAGGGAAAAACCTCTTGTCTAACGTTGCGTGATTTTCCAGACCAACCGCTGCCATCTGGAAAAGGCCACGCCTAATGAACTTGTTGAGCACAAGGAAGAGTCGGAGGAATTGGGTGGTTATTTCATTGTCAACGGTAATGAGAAGCTCATTCGAATGTTGGTCGTTGGAAAGCGCAACTACCCCATGGCGATTATTCGTGGTTCCTTCGTTCGCCGTGGACACACCTACACCAAGTATGGTGTTCAAATACGTTCGGTGCGGCCGGATCAGACGTCGCAGACCAACGTCCTTCACTACCTTACCGACGGTAACCTGACTTTCCGTTTCTCGTGGCGCAAGGCCGAGTATCTCGTCCCGGTGATGATGATCCTCAAGGCCTTGGTGGAGACGAATGACCGCGAAATTTTCGAGGGCATCGTTGGCAGCGCTTCTTCCGAGGGAATCAAGAACACCTTCGTGACTGACCGTGTCGAGCTGCTTCTGCGGGTTTACAAGGCATACAACACACACAGTCGCGCCGCTTGCCGGGCCTACCTCGGAGAGAAGTTCAGACCCGTCCTCGGTGTGCCCGCAGACATGTCCAACGAGGATGCTGGTACCGAGTTCCTCCGCAAGGTCGTTCTGCCTCACCTTGGGAACCAGAACGTCACCGAGAACCAGGACTACGACAAGTTCAAGATGCTCCTGTTCATGATCCGAAAGCTCTATGCTCTGGTTGCTGGCGACTGCGCTCCTGACAACCCGGATGCTGTTTCCAACCAGGAGATCCTGCTTGGTGGATTCCTCTACGGAATGATCTTGAAGGAAAGACTTGAGGAATGGGTGAGGTCCTTCCAGCCAATCCTCAGGGATTGGTCCAACCGCAATGCCGGTGCCACGTTCACCGATCCGGCCTTTGAAAGGGATTTCCTGGCCAAGGTCGTCAAGCGCTCGAATGAGAACATCGGTGGTGCACTGGAGTACTTCTTGTCTACGGGTAACCTCGTCAGTCCTACTGGTCTCGACTTGCAGCAACCGTCCGGTTACACGGTCATGGCGGAAAAGATCAACTTCTACCGTTTCATCAGTCACTTCCGCATGATTCACAGAGGTAGTTTCTTCGCCCAGCTGAAGACGACAACCGTCCGTAAGCTGCTTCCCGAGAGTTGGGGTTTCTTCTGCCCTGTACACACTCCTGATGGTTCGCCCTGTGGTCTGCTTAACCATCTTGCGCACAAGTGCTTGATTGCAACTAGCGACGTGGACACCACTCACATCCCCAAGGCGCTGGTTCAGCTTGGTGTGCGCTCCGACTCGTCTGTCTCTGTGACCGAAAGCGTCACCGTCCAGCTTGACGGTAGAATCATCGGTTACTGCTCACCGAAACAGGCTTCTGCGATCGCGAACACCCTGCGACGCTGGAAGGTCATGGGCTCTGACAAGATCCCGCGCGAGCTGGAAATTGGCTACATCCCCAACACCAACGGTGGTCAATACCCTGGTATTTACATGTTCTCGCAAGCCGCCAGAATGTACCGCCCCGTCAAGCACCTTGGACTCGACAAGCTGGACTACGTTGGTCCCTTCGAGCAGCCCTTCATGGAGATTGCATGCTTGCCTCAGGATCTCATCTCCGGCGTGTCGACGCACATCGAGTTCACCCCTACCAACATCCTCTCTATCGTCGCCAACATGACGCCTTTCTCCGACCAGAACCAGTCGCCTCGTAACATGTACCAGTGCCAGATGAGCAAGCAAACGATGGGTACACCCGGTACCGCCATCCAATATCGTACGGACAACAAGCTTTACCGTCTGCAGACGGGTCAAACGCCCATTGTGCGCCCCCCTCTCTACAACGCGTATGGTCTGGACAACTTCCCCAACGGAACTAACGCCGTTGTTGCTATTATCTCCTACACCGGTTACGACATGGACGACGCTATGATTATCAACAAATCCTCCCACGAGCGTGGCTTCGGTTACGGTACGATCTACAAGACCAAGATCCACTCTCTCGACGAGAAGGACTCTCGCCGCGGCAAGTCCAGACGCGAGGTCACCAAGCTCTTCGGTTTCGCCCCTGGAGGCGAGATTCGCGCCGACTGGCGTGCCACTCTGGACGAAGACGGTCTCCCGCACATCGGTGCCCGCGTGAAGGAGGGCAGTCTCGTCGCCGCATGGCACACGGTGCGCTATGATGCCGCCTCCGACTCCTACGTCAACGTTGACGGAATTACCCACTTCGTCAAGTACAAGGACGCCGAAGAAGGATACATCGACAGCGTGCGCATCCTGGGAGCGGAATCCGGAGTCGAGCCCGGCCAGGCTCTCAGCGTCAAGTACCGCATTCCCCGTAAGCCCATCATCGGTGACAAGTTCTCGTCTCGTCACGGTCAAAAGGGTGTTTGCTCCCAGCTCTGGCCCGCCGTGGACATGCCCTTCTCCGAGAGTGGTATCCAGCCCGATCTGATCATCAACCCTCACGCTTTCCCCTCTCGTAAGCCAGCCCCCCTCCTCCCCTATCCATCCCTCCCCAAACTCATCCCCACTAACCGTCACCAGGAATGACCATCGCCCAAATGATCGAATCCATGGCCGGTAAAGCCGGTGCCCTACACGGCCATCCCCAAGACTCCACCCCCTTCCAATTCTCCGAAGAAAACACCGCGGCCGACTACTTCGGCCACCAGCTCCGCAAAGCCGGATACAACTACTTCGGCAACGAGCCCCTATACAGCGGTATCACAGGCAAGGAATTCGCAGCGGACATCTTCATCGGTGTCGTCCACTACCAACGTCTCCGTCACATGGTGAACGACAAGTTCCAAGTGCGTACCACCGGTCCCGTCAACCAACTGACCGGCCAACCCGTCAAGGGTCGTGCCAAGGGAGGTGGTATCCGTGTCGGAGAAATGGAGCGCGATTCCCTCATCGCCCACGGCGCCGCCCACATCCTCCAGGACCGTCTCATGAACTGCTCCGATGCTACCCGCTCCTGGATCTGTCGCGACTGCGGCTCCTTCCTCTCCACCCAGGTGGCTGTGTCCTCTGCTGGATCAAGCAAGGCTCGTATTGCCGCTGCGAAGGCCGCTTCGAACCAGCATTCCGGTGCGAACGCTATTAGCGGAGCGCCGAGTATTGTTCGTTGTCGTCGTTGTGCTAGGGAGGCTGTCTTTGAGGATTCCCGCGCGGATGTCTGGGAGGATGGTGATGGTCGTCGCTATGTTGGTGGTGATAATGTTACTGTTGTGGCGGTGCCCGGTGTCTTGAGGTACTTGGATGTTGAATTGGCGGCTATGGGTATTCGTATGAAGTTCTGGGTGGATAATTAGGGTGCATATATTTTATTTTTATTTTTTATCCGTGTGGGGGGATGATGATATAAAAAGCAAACCTTCTTTTTGTTCGTTGTTAGATTGGGGGCGCATTTTCAGCACTGCTTTCTTTTGCTATAAAATTGCTTGTTGTTTGGCTTCTTGGGGATGTATGTATGTTATGTATGCATTATGTATCTATTTTTCATTTTCTATAACTATGATCATTTCATCTGGTTCTCATGGTATAAATAGTTTTGTTATTCTTAGCAATTGTAGGGTTGCCTTTGGCTGGTGGCTTGCATTGATGTCGGTAGTACTGGTCTCGGTGCTTTCTGGCATGGTTGCAAGACTACTCTTGAGATTACTGTATCAAGGAGCATCACATAATAAATATCTTAGGCCTAAAATAAGAGTATCATATCCACCATACAGAACCCATCAGCACTTCCCGCGCTTACAACTCCGACGTGACATTCGAGAACTCGCCCTTCTCCAGCTTCGTCTTCCAGAATATCGGGTTCATGTCGTTGAAGCCGTGGTGCACCCATCCCTCTTCCTTGACATGGTACAGGTTGATGAAACCACCAGAGTACGCGTCACGGTGCATGGCAGCAAGGATACTTCTGCGGCCGAGCTCGAGGGCCTCCTCCTCAGTCAAGTCGTAGTGGTAGTTGGCGTCAAGCACACCATATGCGAAGGTCTGACCGGATCCGACACAGAACAGGTTTCCGGGGAGTCGGGTGCCGTCTGAGTCGATGTAGTAGAGAGCGGGTCCTTCTTGGGGCGTCATCTATAGTCGTGAGTTAGATTGGGCATCGGTGCATAGTGTTTATAGGAAGGGTTCACGTACTCCTGCTAACATCGTTCCCATGCTCAGACCCATTCCCTTGTAGGCATATGTCAGGTTGGCGAGAATCTTCGACGCAGCGGCAACGGTGATACGGCGCTTGTGACGGATCTCTGTTTGGTGTTAATGAATGTCTTGGAAATAGTGGATGATTGAACTTGCCGTGAAGTGTGCATTGCTGGCTCAGATATCTCAACCAGTATTGGCAGTCCTATAACCGGTCATCAGCTATTAATCCTAGTTCGTAACTCTAGCACAGAGCGCGCATTGCTCCACACGGATAGCACATACCGCAGCACCTCCGGCCATGGTGCCCAAAAGGCCGGGAGTGGGTTCATTTGACGGCTTGTCCTCCCCGCGGCTCAACCGCGAGACGGGAATGACCTTCTTGACTGTCTGACTCGCAATCCAGTTTCCAGCAGTAGCTCTCGAATCCGTAGCGACGATCTAGGAGAATGATGGTCAGTGCGAGACGTGGCGGAGGCAGTGATGACGGCATACAATTCCGCCCTGGAATCGGAAGGCCAGTGTCGTCGTTCCGTGGGCAAGTTTGATGGGGCAGCTGGGATTCGAGTGGTCATCGGTCATGGCACGAAGGAAGGCTCTAGACTGGAGATACAGAAAGATGTCAGCCACTGGTTCCGCGATTGGTAAGAAGCATGTAGGAGTGTCGGTCCGGTGTCCAGCCCAATCTTAGGCAGCTGCAACTTTTCCACAACTCGACCCCCATACAAGCAACTTCACAAGGTGTATATCTCACGTTATCAACAGGAGGCAGGTTGAACTTCAGAGAGAGCGGAGGAAGGCTCTCTGTGAGGTCCCGCTGCTCTTGCTCTGAGTAGAACTCATTCTGATGCGGCGGGCGGGAGTATTGAGCGACCAATTTATCCATGTTGTGCAAGGTGTGTTGGTAGATTCAAGGAAGCAACGAGGAGATATATTCTGGAGGATAATGTTGGGTGCGAGAGAGAAGATGGAAGAGGGAGATGGTGATGGCGGGTGCAGCTCGGAGCTCTGAGATGATGCTTTGGAGCTCCCAAGCCGGCGTCCGCGTCACGCTGGCCGCCTGGATCACGTGATGACCCTCCACCAATTATCTAGTTACTATGCTATTCCTTTGCATTTAACTTCATATTTCCTATAGTTACTCAACTAGTTACAATAACAGCCACCCTGCTGACGGTATTGTGTCAGGCCTCCCAGTTTTAGAGCGGAGTATACACATATAAGCCAAATACCGTACGTACTAGAACTACAACTACAGATAACGAGCATAGCTAGAAACCAATACACTACCCCCAGTCCTCAGCTCAGATGGGGACTGCCACAGGATGGGCCTGCACTGGGACTGGGCTGATTATTTGCGGAGCTTCGGAGCCTCGTGAGGTGTATGAGAGGCGTGGATCTGGTGCTCGTCGCACTTCCTCTTCCTCCTCTGTTTTTAGAGTCTCCTCCCGGACAGATCCATCTGCCACCTGATCTCCGCCTGTCCGGCTGGAGTATATGTCCTGTGCGGCAGCAGGAGTGGTCTGCTCCTCAACAGCGGGGACGGATGGTCCTTCTGTGCCACCGGTGGCATACCGCTCATCGGCAGCGCTGGTAAAGACCTGTCCTAGAGGACGACCGGGGTATCGCTCCTCGCCAGCACTGGCGGCGACCGGCTCTTGAGCACGGCTGCTATACTGCTCTTCAGTGACACCGGTGGCGCTCTGCTCCTGAGCACGGCCAGAATATTCTTCTGTGGCACTTCGATCCACATACTCCTCCGGCGCGACTCCCTCGACATATCGCGCACTGCCTTCATTAACATAGGCCCCTGTGGTGGTACCATTAGTATACTGTTCCCGGCCAGTTCCATTGGCTTGTCGCTCCGCAGCGTTCCCATTGACATATCTTTCCTGGCCAGTGCCATTGGCATAGCGTTCCTGGCCGGTACCGTTGACATATCGTTCTTGGCCAGAGCCATTAACGTATCGCTCCTGGCCAGTGCCATTGGCATATTGCTCCACACCAGTGCCATTTGTATATCTCTCATGACCAGCGCCATTGACGTAAGAAGCTTCCGCAGAACCGTTGACGTCCCGCACAGAGTCCGAGACGGCTGTGTCAGCCGCATATGATGCGCGACCATTGGTAGCTCTACGGGCGGCAGTTGGCAAAAGGGTACTGTCCGGGAGCTCCCCTGCCGCACTCTGGATAGGCACGGTGGTGCTCTCCCAAGAACGGAGATCATTCTCAGCCTCCTCAAGGATTTGTCTTGTAGAAGATGTGCGATCATATTCGCGTGGGGAGTCACCAGGAACGACAGGGGTGTCGTCCAGTTGTTCCAGAACGCGACGCGCATGACGAGCAAGCAAGATCTGTTTCTCGTTTCGTTCAATGACCGCAGCAGTGTGGATGTCTAATGCCTCCTTGAGCTTCGACCTGGTCTAAACTCGAACTTTAGCTTCTGCGATATTCCATGCTGCATCGATCTCAATACTTACCACATTAGTCAACTGCGCCTCAGCAACGAGACTCTGAGCCTCCGCCCTGACCAACTCCTGTTCCAGAGTGTCAATCTTATGGCTATGTGGCTCCTTCCACTTGAGTCTCTGGATCTCGTCTGCGATCTTAGCCCGATGGTCGCGGGACGGCTGGACCGAGTTCTCCGTGTCACGGATCTGCTTCAGCACGATGCGGTATTCCTCGAGATACTGAGCGAAGGTATCCTCCTGTTCGCCAATCTCGGCCATCAGGACAGCAAACTTGTCGGTGATATCGGCGACAGCATCGTCTTCAGTCCATTCACCCCATTCAGACAACTGGGATGCAATAGACACGCGCTCGCGACTGGCCTTCTCATGAGCACCGATGGCAGCATTCTCGTTCTTAATGACCTGGTTCAGCTTCTTGCTCAGCTCGGGCTGCTGAAAGCCGCGCAGCGTAGAGAAGCGGAACCGGGGACGAGCAGTCAATGAGCTTCTCCTCCTGTGGGAGAGGTTGCGATTCCTAAGCTGGTCAGTATGCACAAGATGTCTGTGGAGAGATGGGAGCGATATACATGATTGCGAACTAACTAGGTTATCCACGGTGCCAACTCTCACAGTTCAATGTAACACAAGGTAGTTTAAAACAGGTACGACGAGCTAACAATGATAGAAAAAGGATTGCACCTTCCTCGAATGATACTTCTTCTGGAACGGACGGATGGCAGATCCTATCCGATGATCGACAATTAGTTGCAGTAGCTATACCAATCAACCCACGATCGGTTCATCGGTTCATTGATAGATCAATTCTGTGGGGCACGAGGGATAAATGGCATTGATCAATGGTTTAATTATTTCTTGCATCTGAACATAAAAAGCCCTCTGGACAAGGACCGTGACGTCATGCGGAGGACACGGATGGGCATTGAGGTCATCGGCCGGTTGCAGTACAGCCCAGCCATGATGCATCGCGATGGTTCCATGGGAGAGGGAAGTTAGTTGCTCGTTGAACTCTATACAGTAGACGTGAAGTATAACGAGTATCTCATAGTGCATAGAGTGACAGGACTGCCCCAAGAGGGAGCCAAGCAAGAGTCATGATATCTGAGTAAATGAACCGCATATGCAAAACGAATCTATATACTTGAATCAAAATACCATAAATACAGCATCCCGACTCCACTATCGAGCCCGAATATACTCAACCCTCACCTTCCTCCTACTATCCTCCTCAACCCTATCCACCTCCTCATCCACTTCCTCATCCACTTCCTCATCCTCAACTACCTCCTTCCACCTCCCCCGTTCCCTAATAATTGTAGCACCACCGCCACCACTAGGTCTCCTCCACCCCCCTCTCTCCCTCATAACCACCCACTCCTCCACCCTCTCCCGCTCCTCAGGCTCAGGCTCAGGCTCAAAAACCCCCACACACTCCACCTCCTCCGCCTCCACATCCGGCAACCGACAGAACTCCCTCTCCCTCTCCCTCTCTCTGACATCAATCACCACCGGCGGAGGCAGGGGCGGTAATCTCGGCCGCGGCCACGGCCTCGCAATCCTGACAGGCCTCGCCGGCGGCAGCGGGATGAATGTCTCCTCGACATCTCGAACCTTACTCCGACTCGTTCGGTAAGTATCTCGCTCCCGCTCTCGAAGAGCAGGTGGAGGCGGAGGCTTGCGAGACGGTTGTGGGGGATGGTAGCTTCGCGGTGGGGGGCGGATGGAGATGGAGGTCGTGGTGGAACTGGAGCTGGTGGTGTCGCTGCAGGTGCTGCATGAGCTGTTGGATCTTCGTCGTCTGCGGAAGTGGTGGTGGTGGTGGCTACTATGGTGGTGGTGATGACGATCGTGGAATCGTGGTGGTGGTGGTGAGGGAGAGGAGGATCGCGAGGAGGAAGAGTCGAGGTTTAGATTGAGGAGTTTGGGGAGGGAGAGGGAGTCGGAGAGGGGTGGGAGGCACATTCTTCTCTTTCGTCTTCTGGTTCGTTGGGTTTATGCTGTGGAGAAGTGTGGGTGAGTGTATAGTATGTATAGTATAGCTGATAGGATATCGATAGGCCTTAGTTCTTGGGGAAATGTAAATTGTAACTAGTAGGTAGCATTGTCGTCAAAAACAGAGAGTAATGTCATTCCAAAACGAGAGCAAAAGAGAAAGACTCGGAGGGAGATACCCATGTTTTCTATATACATTTGTACATTTGATAGCCATGCGGGAATCACTTGACCGGGGTAACCTGTCATGCGGATGGTCGGGCCCGGTGATAGCGTCACTTAGGCGGATGATATGAGGGTTATTGGGTATCGGGTGGGCGCATCTTATCTGCGATAGTGCTAGTTTCTATATGAATGTCTGTCATGGGTGCAGTGAGGTTTTGAAGTAGAGACGTAGACAGATAAAGATTGGGATGAAGGTGGAGGGAGTGGAAGTGGAAGTGGGATAAGTATGGGTTAGGACAATGTACATGATGTTGCTAAGTTGGACTGGTGACTTCTTCATCGGCTTTACATCGTCGGTACGACCTAGTCAAGGCGCAGAATCAGCTTTGACGTGCAGATGGCTACTCCTCATACCTCCGAGATCGGACACCTCCACCTACTTTAGTATACAAGGATTAACAATGCTGCTTAACAGCTAATGGAGCAATCTCATTCACAACCCCTCCTCTACACGGAAAGGGCTCAAGCAAAGCAAACCCAGCGCCAATTATTGGTTACAAGAGCACCACAAACACCGTGTCCCCCACCCCAAGGAATTTCGAAACCCAGCGATCAGCAATCCTAAGCCATGTCGTCCGCATCGTGGTGATGTGTGTTCTCATTATCCGATGCGTGGAATGCATCGCCGAACGCCGAGTTCTCCAGGTCCGGGAGGTCCAGCCCTTCGTTTTGCTCGGTGTACGCTGCAAGCGCATCACCTGCGCTATCCATATTCGTGAAATCGAAGTTGGCCCCGTCCAGCGCAGAATCTCCGGCACTCCCTCCGTTTCCAGGTGTCAGGCCTTGGATGCCACTACCCGGGGTGCTGATGCCCGGTAGGGAGCTATCACCGCCAGCAGGCTGATCCTTCTTCTCGTCGTTGACCATCACCCAGTCGCCTGTTTCCCCAGCCGCCGTGCTCGTCGCCTGTCCGTCGCCCATATCCATGTCGATATCGAGAGACGTACCCTGCTGCGTAGCGTCGGCGGTGGGCTGTGGCTGCGGTGGCACGGGTACGCCTCCAGAAGGTACACTGGTTGTGGGAGGAACGGCGGGCGCGGCTGCTGGTGCTGCTGGCTCCTGGGTGGTGGATGCAGCAGGAACGGCCCCAGCGGCAGATGGAGAGCCCAGTTGGTCAAGGAAGTGGCTGTCGGCGTTCTCCATATCAATGTCACCTTCCGTTTGGGGTTCGGGTTTTTGCTCAGGCTCGATCTTTTCCAGCAGACCACCTTTCTGCACGCAGGAGATCTTGGGCTCCGGTACGATCTGCCGTTGCCACGATTTCTCCACCTCCCGTACGATGTCGTCAACCTTGTACTTGGCCGGATTCTCTACTTGAGGAGCCTGTGAGTCATCTTCTTCCGAAGGCATCACAACACGACCTTCCAATCTCCATGTCTCTGTGCCAGTCTCTGCAGGGTCTGTTGCGGCTTCCCGGAGCCGGAGTTCTGCGTCCTTCAGTAGCGACGTGCGGTTAAACTTCTCCATACGACGCGCATGGCGCTTTTTCAGCTTTTCAATCTCAGCTGTCATGTCAGCGACCTTCTTAGCGACACGGTCAGCGAATTCCTCTGCCTTAGCAGGCTCCATCTTCTCTGCGGCTTGACTTGACGCGTTGGCATCCTTCGTCTCTCCATTGGCAGGTCCAACGGGTGCGTCGAAGAATCCCGCTGTCAACGACTCCAGCTCTCCTTTCCGGCCCAGGCCCAATGAGACCGGGGTGATCTGGTTGATAGCGTAGGGCGAGGCGAAGATCTCCTCCATCCACTCGTGGTGTTGCTGGTATCTCATCTTGCTGATCTCGCGCGGAGTAAGCAAATCCATAGCATCCCCAGTCGAAACGTCTTCATCTTCAAGGGCAAAGTCGGCTGTGGCAGCGTTGACTGCAGCAGACGAAGCGCGATGCCCGCGCGCGGCCTTGGCGGGTGTGGCAGCGGCCGGAGGCGGCACACCCGGGCCTGGCGGGGGGTAGAACTGCTGGCGTCCTACCATGGCACTCGGGTATGCGCCAGGCACCTGAGGGAAGCCTTGAGGAGCCATCTGCGGAGGGAAGTTGATGGCTGGCCAGTTGTTGCGATCGTGTAGCATGAAGTCCTTGCGCGCGAGTTGGCCTTGGCTCTGGAGGAACCGCCGTTGAGCCAGCATGTTCTGGACTGGAGGCATGACGGGGATCCGGTTCGCGGGGATGTGGTCGGTGGGAGGACCTCTCGAGTAGTGAACAATCCACAAGGAAGGGTCCGGCGGAGGAACGTTCGGGTTAGGGACCTTCGACGGCAGAAGTCGGTAACGTCTGCGGCAGTGGATAGCCAGGGTCTCGTTTGGTGGGTGATAACCACTGCGATGCAGCCACATCTCCACCAGCTGGAGTATTTCGTGTCAGCCATCAGCGTGTCAACGTAGGAGAGAGGGTCAGGATGCGCATACGTAGCCGCGAGCTTCGAAGGTGAACGCTTGTTCGACGTCGGCCCAGACATAACCGTCGCTAGCAAAGTTGGTTCCCAGCTGGTTCAATGGCTGCCAGGTGAGCATGACAGAACCGTCCTGCGGGCCATCAAGGAACGTCCAATGCATCGGTTGCGCCTCCCGGACGATCTTGGGCGCGGAGAGGAGGTATTCGACGACGGTGTCAGTGGGCATCATATGCATAAGGGGATAACGGTGCCGCGACACCAGATGCATGTGCGGCAGCTAATGAGCGTGTGAAAGCGCCGCTGGTTAGCAATCGGACATTCTAACTATGCAGCAGCACGTCTCAGCTGGATGACCTACCAACTGCGCGGGAACACGGCTCGCTGGGTCGTCCATGGTGATTAGAGACCGTGAAAGGACTAGGGAAGATGGGTATCAAGGTGGTCGCCTAGCACGCGGGATGTTTAGCGGATGGAAACTTCGAAGCGCATCCGGTGATGAAGATGGCCGACAGGCGACAATCGAGCGCAGACTGGTGGACGGAGAGCAGCGAAGGCCAACGCGACGCGGAAATTTGAGGTTCCTGGCCGATTCCCGACATGGCCCCTGCGGGTAACGGGAGAGACCCATCATGCAGAATACCTGCCTGAAGCACCAGGCTGCCATAGCTCCCGATTGAGACGAGATCCCGGCTGGCCAGAGATCGTCGGAAAAGCCCACATTAATCCTTTCCCCAAGCGTGCAATTCGTGCATCCGAGTCTCCATCCCCGCAATGTTGGGGTCTTATGGTTTTAGCCGCCCCCCCAGACTAGTTAACTAACTAGATCATCCTACGTGGAGTGAGTCAATGAGTTGACCCATCGTCAAGGGAACCTGATGTCCTGCTTCATCTTTCTAACCGATCCAGCATTCTTGCAGTGTTTCGCACTCAAACTGCCGTTATGTCCATGCGAGGGAACCATGCAGTATAGTCGGCAAGGGTCATCCAACGACTCATATTGAAACATCCAGCCGCTCCTTCTTCTTCTTCTTCATCGCCCAATGCCTTTGCGACCTTCCCAACCAAGCCTTTTCGCAAAACTCGGTTGGATTGGACCCAAGCTTTGACCCGCCACCCACCGCGCAGTGATGATTTCTCTCCACACTCGTCATGATTGGGTCCTTTGGAGTGTGTCATTGACCCGAGCCCATGCGTCTCCCCTTCGGCTTTTTCATGCACTTAGAGTGTAGCCCTCCTATAGTGCCGTTCGGCTTTGAGCAAGCGATGGCATTATCCCTGGAAAGGCAATTGTCTCGTCCGATCTATCCAGTAGTTCTCTCCCGCTCCCCTCCCACCCCTGCTTAACGTCACTATCCCTCACCTGCGGGGCGTGGAGAGGAGAGAACACATTCGCGTAATCGTGGCTCGCATTCAAACAGGTCTTATTGGTGACAGACCACGCGAAGCACCCCTCTTGCATCGCGCTGATGCTATAAATCTTGCTGCCGCCCTCATTCTCCTGCATTCTGTCCTTGTTCGGTCCGAGTTCTGCATCTGTACTTCTTACTTCTTCTTTCCGTTTAGTGAGTCATGGGGTTCTTTGGCAAGAGGGAAGCTCCCGGTGACACTACGGGCCATGTCGATGCCATCATTGAGGCTCCGGGGCCTGATCCAGAAAAGCAACAAGTCGCTCATGATGAGGACTTTCACACGGCGCTTCCTCAGATCCCTCAGGCCGCACCTACCATTGATCCCGCAGTTGAAGCGCGCTTGTTGAGAAAATTGGACTTGAGGGTTCCAACGCTGCTAGGGTTCTTGTGTAAGTTCCAATATTCTTTTCAGTCCCGCACTCACACTTTCACCGCTCATCCGACTTCCTCTTATCCTGCCCTTGTCACATTTTACCTTTGGTCTTTCTCGGAGCATATCTAATATGATGTGTACGTGCAGATCTTCTTTCCCTTCTGGATAGAAGCAATATCGGGTACGTTTCTTCAACCTTTGCATATCATCTGTGACCTGTCGCCTAACATCGTGCCAGAAATGCCAAAATCGCGGGAATGGAAGAGGACTTACACCTCACGGGAAATCGCTATACATGGCTCCTAACTATCTTCTATATTTCCTACACCCTATTCGAGTTTTTGGCTCTAATGTGGAAGATAATGCCACCTCATAGGTGGGCAGCTATCACAGTAATGACTTGGTATGTACAGACCCATAGCATTAAGATGCCCCGCTCGGTATTTCTGACTGATGCAGGGGCATTGTTGCGACCTGCCAAGCCGCAGCACAGAACTGGGGCGGGATGATGGCTTTGCGTTTCCTGCTCGGCATGTCCGAAGCAGCATTTGGACCCGGGTCGCCCTATCTGCTTTCCTTCTTTTATCGTCGTCAAGAGCTCGGCCTCCGCTGCGGTTTGTTCTTGTCAGCTGCGCCTCTAGCCAATACATTTGCAGGCGCTCTTGCATATGGTATCACCTCCGGGCATGCAAAGATCGCCAATTGGCGCTTGCTTTTTCTGGTTGAAGGCAGCCCGTCGCTTGTGGCAGCCTTCTTAGCATGGTTCTACTTGCCTGATCATCCCGCGTCAGCCCGTTTCTTGACCGAAGAAGAGAAAGAGGTGGCACGCGCCCGGTCGCTTCGACGCAGCGGTGAAAGCGAGCGGGTGACCGGCATTAACTGGAAGGAACTGTGGCAGACCTTGCTGGATGCGAAGGCCTGGCTCACTGCGGTATGTTACGGTGGCTCTCCAACCAAGTGGTATACTGACAATGATGGTGTAGTTGATGTACTTCAGTTGCAATGTGAGCTTCTCCTCGCTGCCTGTCTTTCTTCCAACAATTTTGGAAGACATGGGCTTCACCGCGATCAATGCTCAAGGCCTGACGGCGCCGCCCTACTTCGCTTCGTTCCTCGTTACGATCGCCACTACCTGGCTGGCCGATCGGCTTCAGCAGCGAGGCTTGGTGATTGCTTTGTCGTCGCTCGTTGGTGCGATTGGATATGTGTTGCTTGCCACCTGCACCTCCGTTGGTGTTCGCTATTTTGGGGTGTTCCTGGCAGCAGTGGGAGTCTTTCCTTCGATCGCCAATATCCTCCCCTGGGTTCTGAGTATGTACAACGCCAGCTATACCTTGATCATGTGACTAACATTTGATTGTAGATAACCAAGGCTCAGATACTCGCCGGGGTATGGGTATTGTTATATTGAACATCATCGGCCAATGCGGGCCTTTCTTGGGAACCAATGTCTTCCCAGCGAGTGACGCACCTCGCTATGTTCGAGGCCAGTCAATTTGCGCGGCCTTCATGTTCTTCACCGTGATCCTGGCATTGGCTCTACGGACACTGCTTGTTTGGGAAAACCGTCAATTGGATAAGAAGTATGGCACTGCAGCCGAGAGGGCTGCCCAGGCAACCACGAAGGGAGATCTTATTCTAGGAGAGGAAAACTATGGAGCAAATTACCGATACGTGCTGTAATTGCTGGGTGTTTCTGTGCGACGGTGCTGCTATGATGATATGACTTATGATGACGTGATGATGTATTCGGAACAAGGTATATAGAATACAGACTATGATATACACCCCATGCAAGGAAATGTGTTATTATTGTTGAAATGAGCCAGGAGTTGATGTTGTTCAGTACTTGCGCATAGCCAAATGTCATCTCATTCCTCTCGTCTCATAACCCCAATATATAGAATGTATTGCTGGAGATCTTAGCTATTGTGCCCAGCTACTACAAGATGTATGGCTACGACCAACTCAATCATAGATATTGATCATAGTCTGAACGTGCTCTGGATTGGTTTCTACTGTGCTAAGGGTTTTTGGCTGGAAACGCTCCAGATAGCAAGAATTATGCCAGGGGTATGAACAGTCCCTGTACATCATGCGCGCCAGCGCATGGGGCCCTCATGGCAGGAACCTTGTCATCCCCGTTTCAACACAGATGATGGTTCATGTGGGCCTGGATATATTCCTCTTGGGACTGGTAACTACTATATGTACTTGGCCTTCTTACCCGCAATATATAAAGTACAATTAAACAATGTGAAATAGTGAGCCCGTAGAAAAAGCACTATTTAAGTAGATAGCCATTTGATCCCTAGGTCTTTTGTGCGCACTAGTAGTGGTGCTCAATTCGGAAGCACTAGCATGTTGGAGGGGTAAGTAGTACTAATCCCACGGAAATATATCGACGTCACAACCAAGACCTTCCCTCACTGAACTTAGTATCGAACCACAACTTTAGTTTTGTGCATAGTACTAGTACTGCACTTGAAGGCAAAGGCCATCCTTTTCTCCCATAAAATTATTCAGTGAGCCAACAGTCAATTTATTACCATCGATCATGTGCATCGCTCAACGACAAGCGCTAATCTGGGCGCACGCTTACCACCCCACCAGTATAAAAATGCCTTGATTAGGCTAGTAACTCTCTCAACCATCTGTTGCATATATACCCTTCCACTACATACTTACATCCGCAGTAACTGCGTCTCACATCCAAAATGGCGAACGCTTCTACTGCTGAAAGTCGCAACCTCTACGGCATCGTGGACATGGGCAGGTGAGTAGTATACAATCTACCCAGAAACCCTTCCTTTCCATAACCACGTAACGATAACACCAAACTAACAAACAACCACAGCAATGGCATCCGCTTCTCCATAACAGATGTCTCCCCCCACGCCGCGCGAATCATGCCCATCCTCTTCCAAGACCGAGCCGGCATCTCCCTCTACGACGCGCAATTCTCCGGCCCCACGCGGGGCCCAATCCCACCCCACATCACCGAGCAAGTCGTCGACCGACTGGCCCAATTCCAACTCACCTGCGATGATTTCCAAGTCCCCAAGGAGAACATCTACGTCCTAGCTACAGAGGCGACACGAACGGCCCCGAACTCCGAGGAATTCAGAGCGCGAATCAAAGAACGCACCGGGTGGGAAGTCGCTCTCCTCTCGAAGGAAGATGAAGGGCGCATCGGGGCATTAGGTATCGCGAGCAGCTCTGCCTCCGTGGCAGGCATCGCCATGGACCTCGGTGGCGGAAGCACACAGATTACATGGGTGATGGAGACAGAGGGCACCGTTACGACGAGTCCGAAGGGCTCGTTCAGTTTCCCGTATGGAGCTGCGGCGTTGACGAAACGGTTAGAGGAGGCTCAGAAGCAGGGAAAAGATGCTGTGAAGGAGCTGAAAAGCGAGATGACAAGAAACTTCCAAGACGCGTATCGCCAGCTGGATGTCCCAGACGCGCTGGTAGAGATGGCTCGCAGTCGAGGCAGATTCGACCTCTATCTCTGCGGCGGCGGGTTCCGCGGCTGGGGATACGTCCTGATGAAGCAGAGCAAAGTCAACCCGTATCCGATTCCCATCATCAACGGATTCCGCGTCAAGAGAGAGGACTTCCACGACACAGTCTCCGTCTTAGACGTCGTCTCCGACACGGACGAGAAGATCTTCGGCGTATCGAAACGCCGCGCCTCCCAGATCCCCGCTGTGGCTGTTCTCGTGAACGTGATCATGGACGC